TGATATGGGTTGCTGCCGAATGCAAGAAAAATACCGTAGTAGAATTGTGCCCCAAGCCATGCGTTATAGATTTTCTATATCAGAATGAAAATACACACAAAAATACTTTAAAACTCTGGCTAATTATCTTACGTATTGTTTTTTCATAACTTTCTGCATCTGAACTTCGATTATGCCATCTTTTCCTACAACATTGTAAATACTATCTGGCTGCTGGTGGTAAATTACTGAGTTCTGAAGTTTAGAGTGGCCATTCATAAATTGAGAATGGAATAATAGTGAACAATTCATACCAATATATGTATTTGTTTTCAGCTCCAAGATACTCAAATCCCTGCGATTCAAATCCGTGTCTAAATGATGGAACGTGTATTCCAAAAGTGACTGAAGATTTCTCTGATTATTATTGCATTTGCGAGACTGGACGTGATGGGAGGAATTGTCAGAATCGAGGTAGGTTCGATTTAAAGTTTACGCTATCATTGGAAGCTTTGGATGTTTGAGACAACGTGATTAAGATCATCCGAGCGTTATTAGTATTGCAGTACTGAACTAACATTTTTTATTGTGAGCCAACTCGAATTTCAGACGCATTTATATAATTCCGTTCTGCTCAATGGGTCAGGAGATTCTTAAAAAGACTGAAAGTTTAATATTATTATTAATTAAAAAGTTAATCGTTTTAAATGAGCAGTTTAACGTTTTAATTAAAAAATCCAGATTTTAGCTCAGACATACATCTTTCAACAACAAAATGTAAATAGGGGTCATTACAAAATCAGCATAAATAGCCTATGCCAAAACATGTTATACTATATCTGTATTTTTCATGAAGGTGAATACAATACGAAAACTAATTTTTTACTTTCAAACATAGTAAAACAACGTTTTACTCCCGGTCTTACTAATCAAAGTGATTACAAATTCCTTTTAAATATTTAAATATTTTTTTATTTCAAAGAAAACTGTTCTGGATTTACTTGTGACGATGGCACCTGTATACAACGGCTTTTCCGCTGCGATAGTACTTTTAACTGCCGAGACAAAAGCGACGAAAGGAACTGTGGCCGTGGGGATTTTGGTTGATATATCCCCGCTATAAACGCATTATATACACAGACTGATGATCCATTTCTGGACTATGTACCATGGTTTGAATCTGAAAAGTAAAAGTATAAAAATGTGTGGTCATTTCCTCTACTGTACACAGTAAATATGATATTTAATGTACCACGTCTGCATTGTTAATGTTTGATTATTTGTTGTTTAATTATTTATTGCTTTTTTATTGTACATTGCGCTGTATGCATTTTAGCATCAATTTCCAATTATGTAACATAGTAACTTAAACCTACTAAAGATTGTAGTTAGTAGCGAATTGAGTTGATAGCGAGTATGTTGAATATATATGTAAATCGCACATACTGTGCAAGTTATCATTATTTAAATTTATAAATCTCAAACAGCACATGTGCACGATATGTTAATTTTTGTATGTGTGGTACACTTTTTTTATATTAAGTATTTTATGCAATACATAATGTCTTGCTACACTACAGCATATCTCTATGTTTTGAGATTTTTTAAAAAGAACAGTATGGTAATCAACTTAATCTAGGCCTGTTCATGTGCACATAGGGCCTACACGTTAAGTCCCAAACAAGTGAATTTAGGTCTATAGTAGTTGCATTGTGGGTAAAAAAATTCTGTACTTAACTTCTTATTCAGGGTTACTGTACTGTACATAACTATAATAATATATACCAAACTACATAGATTCCAGGCGTTTGATTGGTTAAAGCTAGGCAATAGTTCCAGCCATACCCACCCTCCAATGCCTACAATCTATGTGGTGGTATATAAAACAAATATTTTCTGGATTTGAATTGGGTTATTCCGCGAGACGAAGTCTCAGGACATAGTACAGCATCCAGATTACCCCGGGCTATATTTTGGACTATGCCCTTCAACCCAGTAAATGTTTGTATAATATTGTATAGGCCTACATAAAACATAAAATGAAACCGGTAAACGATTGCTAACAATTTTTAACTTTAGACATGACGGAGATGAATGGTGTAGATTTGTATTATTTAAATGGTATTAAATATTTGAGAAACAATTGTTCATATGTCATTTTATTTTATTCATTTACAGTCTACAAAGGACGATTGGGAAAAATATAGGCTAGTTCTAATGTGGGTCATTACGGTCAGGAATACGTGCATATCCCACAAACGCATATCTCTCATAATGCAGAAGAGTGCATTCCCGTACATATACTAGGCAGTGTTTTTTCCCCTAAAGATAATAGGAAGGGTAAGGGTCTCACGTCGTGAAATAGCTGCTGCTATATAGAAACTGGGATCTCAAGTAGAAATGAGCCTAAACACGTTTAGTCATAACCAGATCTCTCAGTATCTGGTTATGTTTTAGAGGTTTTCTTTCCTCTTCTCCTTGCATTCTGACGTTGGCACCCCTTAGGCCATTAGTGTTTCCTATATGCCTACAGTATAAACTTCCCATTTTTAGCAAATTTAACCAAATCTTGAATATAAATATATTTGGAAATAACATTTTTGTGAAAATAATATACAGTAGTCCTATACCTATTATAGTCTCTGTGAAGGGGGAGAATTTTTAGAAGTGGTTGGGCGCAAAAAGCCGGTCTATCAGAGAAGAGTGTCTGTATGATTGGGATGGTAACGAAGCGTCGACGACGATGATATTTTTATAATGATGGTGATGAAAATGATGCTAGTCATGAGGATAATGCTGATTAATGAAGATCTCGTCGTTTACAGGCCTAAATAACATACTGTATTCTGGCTTTATTAAACTTAACTTTATTGAATTTAATTTTAGTGATAGCCCAAGTGTATTTTATAATACTGCCCTCTACACTCAAAAAGTACAACCTGATAATTTACGAATACTTGCACAGAATAAGCAGTCAGATTTTTTATTGAATTTAATTTTAGTGATAAACCCAAGTGTATTTTATAATTCTGCCCTCTACACTCAAAAAGTACAACCTGGTAATTTACGAATACTTGCACAGAATAAGCAGTCAGATTTTTTTTTAAATTAATGTTGTTGTAATGTGAATTAAAAAGTGGCTCTCCTAAAATGTTACTATATAAATCAACTATATAAATACATTAATCTATAATTGTGATTGTTTTTTTCCCCGATTTGTCGCGTAGGCCTAACGGCACAAATTGTCACGACGGTGGGATGGAGAAATTTAACGGCTAGAGGCGTAGTGTAAGGAAGCGCGGACGTACGGTGCAGCATCTAAAGTGAATCTTATTAAACAATTTTAAAAAATGTTGTTATCCATCTGTAAACATTAACAAGATCTTCATCTTCAAAAATCTTCATCTCCCTCACAACCAAGACTTAGGCCTACGTAACATGCTCAGAGATTTCAAGTTATCGGCAGACATATTTGCAGGCGTGAGACTTTTGAAAAGTCTGCCCCTATGTGTAATGGGACTCCATTCTCTACTGCACCTTCCCCGAAATTTTTTTTTCTAAATGCTCGAAAATACTTTCAGCATCTGTATTTTTTTCTCTTGATTTTATCAGAGAGGCCTTATATTATAAAACCCACATATTCACACAGTGTTAGTGCAGTCATGATGATGATACCATAATATTTTAAGTACTGTATAGAGGATTTTAAATAACAAGAGTTTATAAAAGGTAAAAAATACTATAGGCCAACATATTTTATAATATAGGCATTACATGTATGCGTGGGATTTTGGTCCTTCTTTAAGCGTGAGAGCGTGAGACAGACCCCAAGTACGTGAGTCTCACGCCGAACTTGGTAGGTATGCATGCTTTTTAAAGTCAGGCTCCTGAGGAAGGAACAATTTTTTTAAATATATATGTTATAGAACTAATTTTTCTTAGACACAAAAATCATATTTGACAAAAAGCTTTTAATGCATGAGATACAAATTTTTGAATATTTAAAAACTGGGAAAAAGGGGCGTAACCACATTTTTTCCCACCTATTTATCCAGTTTTTAAATATTCAAAAATCTGTATCTCATTAACCGCATCCGTGTTTTTTGTCAAATATACTTTTTTATGTCTGCGAAAAATCAGTTCTACAACATATCAACATTGTTTTCCTCCGGAGCCTGACTTCAAACACTCTAACAGATATTCCGGTCCCTTAAATAGGAATGTAACATCTCCTCTCAAATTAAAACTGCCTTTACCATATTTTCTTACACTGTATTTTACTAAAAACCATTGAGCCCTCTGCTAATAATATTTGCGATAGACAAATATATATATATAAATATATATATATATATATATATCGTTTTATATATATATATATATTTAAATAGATAAATAATAACAACAATGTACAGTATAATATATATTTATAAAGAAAATATATCTTCAATTTAAATTCTTCATTCTTTCTTTCATTAATCGAAATACCTTTACTGATTTAAAAATTGTGTTTAAATTATTACAAATTACCATTGTTGTTAAATTTATCTTTATTCACCTTTCATTTTTTGAAATACAATAAATGTTTATTTGAATTGACCCGAATTTTCAAAATTTACTTCACGTTTCACACGGCCCCGGCAAGTTTTTAATAAACTCTAATAATTAACGGCATCTTGTTTTAGCCTATATTCATCATTATCATTCATCATATTAGTAATAGGCTAATTAGTATACTGTAATATACCTAATTTGTTAAAAACATTCGATTGCCTACCTGAGCCAACGCTTTCCAACAGAGGGAGGTGTATGCGATTGAACAAAGAGCCAGGAGGTCAATGAAATTTTCCAGCTTGGCGAGTGACTCCACTGCTAGAGTTTGACAACTTAGTTACGGGAAGTTGGCTTGCTCAGTCTGGTATCGTAAAAAGATGCTATCGGTTGTACTTTTTTAGTTTTCACTATGAGGATAATTATTTTGGCTTTCGTTTTAGTTTGTGTTGAAGTATATTCTCAAGGTAAGGTGTGAATATGTAGGCCTATAATTATATTCAAGTGTAACTTACCAATCAACTCTCTAATTTCCACTGTTGGAAAATGTCTTCATCCATCCATCGTAGCCACGATGTTACTTTCTTTCATTAAGCGGGTTATAAAAATCTTAAATATAAACCTGTTCATTTTTTAGCCTCACTACTGTACCACCTTATGTATAAGGCTTAGATTTTAATACAGTACGGTACTATTTTATTCAATCAAATAAACAGCAGTGTAGTAATTGTAGCGCACAATAACTAGGCATCTGCCAAGTTGGGAGGTGTTGCTCTCTCTTGAGACTCTACACCCACCTCAGCCCCACAATGGTTGGTAGGACCTATTTCATAAAGTAGCAGTAAGTAATTGGTGCTCTGGAATGATGTTGTGTATAAAATGTACCTATTCTATTAAACAATGATGTTTTCTCTCCATAGATCCTTCATGCTGTCATAAAATTGGGAGTTACCCTTCCTGCCAAGGTGCATGTGATTTAGTAAGTAAAATAGAATATTATCTTAAATAAATTATCAGGGGTGGATCTAGAGATGTCCAAAAAGGGGGGAGGGGCCAAAAGTTGGGCCAGACGAGACAACACCATCACCACCCTAGGGGGTCCGGGGGAATGCCCCCTCGAAATTTTTGTGTTCTAGACGCCCGAAAATAACATTTGAGGCGTTCTGGTCTCTCATTCTTTCTTTTTTTCCCTTTTTAACCTCCCAAAGGGGAGGGGGGGTGGCGTGGCGGGGCAGGGCCGGGCCGGCCCCACTCCAATTCTGCCCCTGATTATTGTTATTTTTTCGGAGTCTGTTTATATGGAAGCGGTGGCTTAAACTGTGTACGTTGAAAGGGTTGTGAACTTGTATTTAACAATGATACCACTTGCAAGCCAGTAAAATTCAAGGCCGAACTTTCCTCTCGGTTTATTCAGATAACAAATAATACAAAAACTTCAAATTCTTTCGATTGTAGACCTCGTGGTTGAATTTGCCAGGCGCCTATCATCACATGCCCGTATATTTTTCTAATTTAAGACACAAAAACGCATACTGTACCCTTTTGAATAAGCGCCACCTCAAAGAAGCGCTTGAAAATTTCCATCCATCCACTGCCATCCTACTAAGCTCAATCGGCTGATGGCCAACCCTGAAGCTAATCACTATCCACCACCACTAATTGCATCTGCTATTCAGCTGTTTTGTAAATATTCACAGCATTCTTGTCATAATAAATGCTCTCTGGACTATTATCTTTTCCGCCGCACCACCATTCATAATGTTTGGTTTTCCGATGTCCTTATATTATCTTTTTTCATTTAAAAAATGCCTCTTGAATTGAATAAGTTCCCATAAGAATCCCTTGATTTTCATCTGTTTTCATAAGCGCCCCCTCAATTTCCACTCTGTTTTCATAAGCGCCCTGTTTGAATAAGCGCCCCTTAAAAAATGCAAAAATATTTTAAGCGCCCGGGCGCTTATTCGCCAAGTACGGTATTGATGAAAAACTTGGAAATGGTTAATATATGAGATACAGATTTTTGAATATTTAAAATGGTTTTTAAATGTTCAATTTAGAACCACTATGTCAAATAGCACAGTGTAGGCAAGACATATTCGCTTCAAGTACTACATTTTTTCTTCTTTTTTTTCGTTAATCGATTGTTAAACATATATTTATGACAAGAACTGACAGGGTTTATGAAAATTTGAGTGAATGTATATATGAATATTTTGAACAAATAAATACATTTTTTGGGAAATATGCAGATAGTGGGTCTTTAAATCTTTATAACAGAAATAACAAATTTTATATTCAGTAAATTTTTGACTGTCTTAAAAATATGGTCCTTTCCAATTGGGGATAGGGAAGGATGGTGCATATACCCATCACACCTCCTGTGGGCCTGCTTTTTATGTGTATATAATGTATTTAAGTTGAGCTTAAAGTATGCATTTTATTTGGTTATGTAATAATAAAACCAGTGAAAATAATTCATTGAAATGGACAATACTGTGCTATACTGGTATTGTGGTCTTCATAAATGACTGAAGTGGCTGTTTTATAGCATGATAAATCAGTCTTTCAAAGTGTTTAGTTAAAATAACATCAACACATTAACACATTGCACTGTTAGGTCAGTTGTAGGAGCATGTCGTCATTGCTTTTGAAGGCCTTGGATCAGTGTACTGTACACAGTGTTGTACCCAGGAGAGTTGAAATGGGGGAGCTGATAAGTGGTGGGGTTGCAAATATTATGTCGGTGGGGACTAGGTCACAAAATAAGGTGATTTTAACCACTTATAGCATGATTTTTTTGCTATGGACATTTTCAATGGGGGTGTATTTTTTGGGGGATGTATGCATCCCCCATTCACCCCTAGATATGCACCTGGTTGTACCTACCTGTCTCTAATGAAAAATTTACAGTAAATGATATAGAATATGAGAATTTATTATTTTTCAGACAAATGATTGATCTATGATTCAGGATTCAAGATTTCTTTATTTAAATCTGATCTGCTAAGAGTAATTTGCTAAAACGATTGGCGGATTTAACTTTGATTTGGTACTGTACAGTGGTTTAGTTCACAGTGATTTCCAATTAGTTTCGAATCATTAACTTTATGCTTTCTAATTACATGTCTTAATCTTCTTTCCGACTATTCAAATACTCATCACGCCTTAGTTTAGGGC